TATTTTTATTTATTACAATCATTTAAAAAGTCAATTAAAACTACTATTAATTGACTGCATATATTCCATTACTAATGCTTTGGAAAAACCCTATAATTGTATTTGTGGAAATTAGTAATTGAAATTCTGGTTGTCTTTGTGAATCTGCTAAATTTGTAGCTAATTGGTCAGATATAAAAATGTTATTAAAATGCTATAAAATGATCAATTAATTAGGAATAATAATTTAGTGTGTAGACACAAGTCCTTATTTCTCTATACCTCGAAAAATCGAGTGCCTTAATAAAAAAAAAATGGTGAAAGTCTCGTTGGCCTTGTTGATGCTACTTGTCTGTGCCTTTTTGTCAGGTATTTATTTATTTATTATTATTATTATTATTATTATTATTATTATTATTATTATTATTATTATTATTATTATTATTATTATTGTATGTGAAATCTCATGTTGTTTGTGTTACAACTAATAAATTTTGTTTCAACTATTACTTGTAATTGAAAAAATAAAATAAAATAAAATTAAAACCATGCTATATTTTTTAAGTAAGAGAATTTTCTTTTTCTTTTTGAGTTGCAAGAACTCAAATTATTATATAGATAATCTCACCAAAAAAATAAAAATAAAAATCCACCATAGTGTATTTAAATTTATTCAAAAGGTTATAGTAATTTTCCTTTTTATTTTTGTTCTGGACAAATAATTCAGTTTTTAATTATTACTATTATTATTATTATTATTATTATTATTATTATTACCAGCAGAGATTTGGGCCTAAAACTCAGGCCCAATGTATGAGCAAAGGCGATGGGGATACACCCTTTTGCGGTTGCGTATTTTGTATCTAAAATCCCAAAGTATGAAAGTTGGGCCTTAATGGGATAATCAGTAATAATTAGGTATAATTACGCTGTTATGTACGAATCTCCATTTAGTTTACAAATTTATTAAAATTTTTATTTTCAAGTATACATAAATTGCATTATTTTTTTAGTTTATAACTCTTGCCAAAAAAAAAAAAAGTATAATAATCATGGAAAATGAAATACTAAGATATAAAAATTGTTGGTTTTGGGCCCATTATTTGTGATCAATGGGGTTTCATAAATCTATATAACTAGTAGGCGATCATGTGCTCATCACATATACAAAAAATATTATATATTACATGGGTGTGTATAATATTTAAATTTATAAAAGTTACATTATGGGTATATCACAATTTAAAATTTTGACTATTAGTAAAAATGGATTATATACATATAAACTATATAACTTACGTATGATGTTGCATTTTTGTAAACTATATAAACTATCCATTTTTGTAAAAATGGATAATATACATATAAACTATATAACTTACGTATATCACTATATTGATCGTTGATGTTGTATTATTTTAGTAATTTGAGGGATCATGAAAACTTAATTAGCTTGAAAATTATTATTATTATTATAGACATATTTTATGTGATTTTAAGAGTTTTGGTTATGCTATTAAAATGAATTAACTAACTTTAAGAAAAAAGTTTCTTAATGAGATGAAAAAATAATAATAAATATAAAAGATAACTTTTAAAATACATTTACAATCTAAGTTAGTAAAATATATTATAATTAAAAAAAAATTGGGAGAAAACCTCATACAAATGGTCATATCTATCCAATATATTTATGGATACTTTCAAGCCTAATTATTTATTGATTGGAAGGAAATTAAAAGCTACCCAAGCCAAATGACCAAGCTTGAAATTTTACCACATAAGATCCAGAAGCGGGCAAGCCTGTCACTTAGGCTCAACACATTCGAAAATTATATATAGGAGGATTTATAATAATGTATGTTGTAAGTATTTTATTTTTCTTTTTAAGTTAATAATTTATATGAGTAGTGGTGTGCAAACAACCTCGATCAGGTGGAGCGACCTTGGATCCGCTCACGTCCAGTTCAAAGACCTGCAAAATAGGGCGGGAGGTGTTCCCAGTGTTAGCACTCCGACAATCAAGTTTGTATATTGATGAAGAAAATAATGAACATTACTGTATAAACTTGTGGGTATATTTGACTGTGTAGAGTTTGGATTGTCATATCCCACTCCTTTATACATGGGTGTTACGTTGTTGCCCGAGACTACTCATATAAGTTGCTCGAGTGCCTGCACAGCCCGTTCGTACTGCACAGATGCCCGAAATGCCAATTATGTTAGACCACGTAGTTCAATACACATGCTTGAAATGCCAATTATAGTATATTCCTTCTTATCTATTGGTTTGTCTTATAAGACGATTTGATCATCAACCAACTCAACTTTTTTTGAGCCAGATTACCTCTTCGTTCGTCACTCGTGCAGTATTTAAGGTCAATCCACCAACCTGCATACCCCCAACTCGATTTTCCATCGGGCCATCTAAGGGCCCTAGATCGACTTATCGGCGAGTCTCCTTGCCAATGGAGTCACCATCAGCCTGGTGTTTTGTTGACCTCTTGTATCTCCTGTCTGGGAACGACCTGCCGGTTAATCTAGCTTGGTTAAACAATTTCTCGAATCAAATCGACTTCGTATGATATCCATATATATCAAATGTTTTTTTCTTTTCTTTTATATAACCTAAAATAATTGATTATAATTATTATTATATATTGTTAAACAATTTTTGTAATTCAAATTTGAGTATTTTTTTACATATCATTATGATTAATACAAAACTATTATCCATTAAAGAATAAAATAAATTAAGTAAAAATAAAATTAATTTATTAAAAACTGTTGAAATAGTTTAATCAATAACAAAAGTAAAACATACAGTAAGAAAATTTGTGAAAGAAAAAAAGAAGAAAATGAAAGTAAGATTTATGGCCAAGATGGAGCTGGAATTAATTTTTATACTCTGTCCCCCAACTGATGTATAACAATCTGTTGATCAACTGAATACTGATACAAAATATATTAATTACTGATTATATGTAATGATAATAAAACAATTATCTTAAATGATTGATAATTGAAAACGTGTGAGATAATAAATAGTGAATTTTATGACAAAATGTGTAAAAAAAAATAATAATTATAAACTGTATTATTATTTTCGATACCAAACCAAAATAATTCATATCCAATCAACTAACAAATTTTATTATTTTCGATTTCCCTAAAAAAATCAACATGTTTTTTGAAGATTGAAAACAAATTTAAGTCATATTAATTCAAGTTTATCTCAACCATTAATTAATTTGTTTCAATCTTTTTCAACCTTGTAGATTGATACTTATTTAAGTCAAATATTTCTCAAGTGATTTTTTATTTTCTCAATGTGTATATATATGTGTGTGTATTCCACAAATGTTAATCAAATTCGTGCAACTGTTAATACAATACAATGTCAAGCTCTAATTTTGTCACACATTTCTACTCTGCTCTGCTCGCCATAATGTTATTAGGTACATCCATGAAAAATTTGGTCTTCAACAAAATCATAAATCTTTTAATTATGCTCTTATGCAGTTAGTCTTATATAATTTTTTTAATTAATGTAAATTTAGTTCAATAATCATAATTAGGGCATGCATGAGCTAAAATACAATATTGTGGGAATGTGTACATTTTACTAACATGAACTTGTTTTTGCACGATTCGAATGGGGGAAAAATACGATGGCGGCACAGTGGCGGCGGCAGTGGAGGCGGCTGAACCCGCGCTTTGCCCGACGACACAATTCGGCAAGCAACCGATGAAATCTCTCGGCGTTTGCACCAATGCTTGCAAGAAAGCCTTTGGGAGCTCGCTACACAAAGCCGAGTGTCTCAAGAACAAGAAAATGATTAGTACTTCGTTTCTAAATTCTGAAAAAATACCTAATTTTGTAAGATGTTTTTGCGGCTGCTCGACTAAGAAGAAGAAAGACAACAAGTGTCCCCCACCGCAAGTCCTGACTCCTCCCGAGCCGGAGCCGGAGCCGGAGCCGGAGCCCTCGGATTCGTGAATGGGTTGTGTCCGGCCGGGTGGAATTTATTGAATAAATTGAATATTTATGATGATTTGTAGTATGCGTTAACGATTATTGTTAATTGAAATTATATATTTACTAGTACTTCATCACCTGCACATGTACAAGTTAAGTAAAATTTATATAATATTATGATAATTATTATAAAGACTAACATTTATAGTCTGTATAAAGTTGTGTAATGTTACATATTACATTACATAGTTTGATAATTGTATAATGTGTGTACTTTCACAAATGGTACACCAAAATAAAATATGATAATTGAATGAATAGCATAAAATAAAAATTCTAATGGAGATTAACTAATCATTACTTGAAATAATGTCACTGGTAATATTTTTTTGTAATACTCATCTCAGTAATTATCACTTCAAATAGGGTAAATGTTTATAAAAAATTCTATGGCACAATCGAATAGTTTTCTTATAGAGTCATCTATCACTTAATATGACACCTGTCCAAAGTGCATCACTTAATATATTGACACATGTCCAAAGTGCATTTATCGTGGGACAACTGTCAAAACACTACTTGTATGAAGGGCTCCATAAGTCGAGCCATCTGATGGCTCTATAGCAACACTAAAATGTTCATATACATAAAAGAGGTAATCCTTTTGAATTAGTAAATAATCTAATTAATTATGATGTAAGTATATACTTATTATGTAATTTATACTTAATTTAATTATTCAGTAAAAGATATGAATATGTCATTTAAACGTAATTTATGCATCTCATTTTGATTGTATACTTATTTTCTATTATTCTTCAAAAATATTCTAAACGATCAAAGATAAAACATATCCCAACACAACACTGCTTAAGTTAAAAAAAAAAATTAAAAAAATAAAGAAAAATTTAGATCTTATTTCTTAATTTATTCTCTTAATTGAAGGTGCACATATATAAGGCACGAGCATAAGAAAAATTTGAATATTTTTTGTTTTTTCAATTGAATAAAAGTTTGATAATTAAAATAAATTGATATATAATCAGCACGGATAAGAACACATGCAGGCGACGGACCCCGGAAGGCCCGGGCCTTCACGGCACCATGCCTCGGCCCTCGGCCCGTGCCTCTGCTGGCACGCAATCCAGCACACTTGGTCCGCCTGCGATCCCCTACACGTCACGTCCACTGTAGGCAGCCCTTCCAAGCACTCTCCTCCTTCCACCCTCAGTATTCCCACTAGCATAATAATCAAATTAAATTATTATTTAAATAATTACTATAAATTTGGTGTATTCGTTTGGTATTTCGAGTGACAATTAATTTTAACTTTTTTCTTTTTAATTCGAAACCTTTTTTAGATTTGTGGATTTCAGTGAAATACTTATAAATTTGAAGTCTAAAGATGAGATTTGGTGGTGCGATTTAATATATATGTAATTCGTGTTTCGAATTTCAAATAATCTCAAAAAGGATAACAAGTCTTTCAGATTAAAATAAGTTAAAATACGATTTCGTAAATAAATAAATAAATAAATTTCAAATGAATATCGCTTGACTTTTGAATGTTTCAAAAAAGTTAATTAAGTTAAATACATTATAATCCCAAACAAAACCTCGAATAAATTTTTTAGAAATCCCGAACGAATACACCATTAAAAAAAATATTTTGAATCAATATACATAGTTTAAATGAAAATTTGTATACCTGATAGCACAAGAATGAGAATGCAATGAATAGCCACAGATAGATTTGATTTCGCCATTTTTTTTATTTTTTTATTTTTTAATTATTGATTTGATGCTTGTATATGCCTTTTTATGAGGTTGAATTGAACCTCTCAATAGGTGTTATTGGTATTTATAATGGAGATTATTATAAGGGATTTGTTTATTTGGTGAACAATAATTTTGTATCATGGACATGTTATATTTTATTGCACAAATATTTAGATTTGTCACGTCCAAATGGTAATTATTGCATAATT